GCAGCACGAGGCCGCGCGGCGCGGCCGCGGGCTCCGCGCCCCGCGCAGCCCCGGGGCTCGGGGGAGCGGATCCCCCTGCGAAGCGCTGGGTGACTGTTCCCTCCAGCCTTGCCCCAGAGCGTCCTCATTCCAGGGAGTATGTGAAACCAGGAATAGGGAAAAACTTAATCTCGACGGCTTTCCCTGCAGATGAAATGTCTAATGAAAATCGACCCTTGCTACATTTTTGCAGGAGACTGTGCAAATCCTTAATCTTCAAACCGAGAAGGAATGGGATCTGTCCTCCTCCTGCAGTCTGACCAGCATCAAGTGCTCCACGATATCTGCTCCTCAGAAAGCGTGAGTGATGTAAGACTCGTGAGATTAAAAACATGTTTACACTTTGATTTGTTTGCTTTCCAGTTTTGGAGCCTCCAAGCCACCCTCAGGTCATGTTTCTGAGCCCTTCCCCTGCACCATTGCAAAATCTGGCATAAAATCAAGACGGTTAGCAGGGCTCGCAATGTGAGGCAGCCGGTGTTCTTGCAGATCAAGAATGATGAAGGGGAGCACTTGACAACGCTGCTACCCGATGCCTACTGTCCATATACGAAGTAGAGTTGGAGCAGCAGGAAAGCAATATTTTCTCTCACTTTCTCCCTAGATGTATCCCAGCTGGAAAAATCCCCGCTGATAACTGTACAACAAAGACATGCAGCTGTTAAATAGCTTTTTTTTCTTCTTCTTCTTTTGTGCTTTGGTGTCAGTGGCTCCTTGTAGCCTCCCCCTCTTTGGCCATTGCACTGAGCCTGCCTTCTGGGAGAAACCTTTCCCGAGGGATTTTTGCAACCTAGTAACTCGTCCACTGGTTAGTGCTGAACTTTGTTTTTCAGAACCCACAAAATTGTCCCTCACTCTCTGTTACTACCTTGCAACTACTCAAAGGACTTTTAAATGCCAGTAGTTTCTTCTTTCTTATTTGATGAAGCGAGTCCAACATCTTTAATAACTGCTTTCCATTTTTCTTTCCAGCTGAGTAATGCAGAACTTGCTTTTTCCTGGGATAATCCATAGAGATGGATATTGGGCAATGAAAATGCAGAAAGAAGCCAGGATCATGGGACCTCATTGGACAAGCAGGAGGTAAGAATTTTATGTTCTGTGCTATTTCTGAAATGACTGCTGTTTATGCACCTAACCTTGTGACAAAGCAAAAACACTGCCAGAAGAATATTATTACCTGAGAAGCTGTTTATTTTCTTTGAAACATTAATATATTGGCAAAGAAGCAGCAACTTTAATGGGAAGAAGTGGGAATTTCCCTGTCCTATGTGCAGGTATCAATCAATACTCAGCAGCTGAAATGTCTGCATATCTTGTCCCCTTTGCTGGAATCGTAGTGACCATTTCCTTTGGCAATTTGGTCCTGGAAACCGCTGAATAAATGCCCGTTACCTCTTACTGATCCCCGCTTCAGAGCCAAAGGGGTGGCAGTGCTGCTGCACGGGCCTAGCTGGGGACCCTCCCGGGACTTGCCTCCTCCTTTGGCCCAATCCTGCAAGCTTTAGAGCTCTTTCAACTCTCAGGAACTTTGACTGGAGTGAAGGGTCACTCAGAACCTCCCAGGAGGAGGCCCTGAGCAATCTCAGTGTTTAAAATTAATGGATTTGAGCATGAGAATCTGGCCTGGGAGATTTTAATCTGAAATTTCTATTTTTAGCTTCCACTTGAAACAGATTCAAGTAGCTCTTTTCTGCCTTTGATACTGCATTACTGTGTTAGAGCCTTTCCTATTGTTAGGCTTGCAGGCGCCAAGTCCATCTTCAGTCTTAAGACAACTGTAGCCAATGGACTGAGATCAGGGATGAATTTGGCCAGGGATAATTAAAATAATAAATAAAATAACAAAATGAAGATACATAAAGCAAAAGCTTGGGCTTGGACTGGTTTCTGAGACTCTGAAAGTAATTTAAGTAATCCAGGAGAAAATATGCAATGAAATCTGTTTTCCATTATTGCATGACTTGGTATGTCTTAGAATTTGATCAAAACCGTTTTTTTAAATATGATGAAGACAGCACAGCTTGAAGTGATCCATAGATCTAAGATTTTTTTTTCAATATAACATTTACAAATCGTTGTAGACTTGACTTTCTGTTCATTTACTGATAAAACTTACTGCTCCTGTCTTGCTCTCACAGCAAGTGAAAATAATTCACTTTCTCATTACTGGTGTTTTTGGAGGAAGTGATGGTACAAGCTCCTTATGGAGATGTACGTGTGCAATAGCTTCTTGCCCAGACCCTGTTTGTGGGATAATCAGGGGCCTGGAACATCTGCCCTATGAGGAGAGGCTGAGGGAGCTGGGCCTGTTCAGCTGGAGAAGAGAAGGCTGAGAGGGG